TTTTTGGAAAAAGCCACAATCCCGTCACAGAATGATTCCGTGAAGGTTTTTAGCCAGTAGATAAACATGTAACTTTAAAAATGTATCTACAATAACTGTATATCTAATGGCTAAAAACCTTTACGAAATCATTCCGTGACGGGATTGTAGCCTTCTTTTTTCCTTTTTTTATATATCAAAGACCCAAAAAATTCTTCGATCTGAATCCCGAGCACTAATGTACGTCTAACCATTAGACTCAACGACTCGTTTTTCCATCTTGTAGGACCCAAAAAATAAAAATAAAAAAAATTAATTAATTTTATAGTATTGAAAAAAAAAGGCACAGAAAGTGCATTAAACATTATTATTACATTACATATGGACATTAAGTATGACTGGGTGGATAGTATTGCCTGCTATCTAAGAGGTATGACAAATAGCTGTTTCTTCAGAAAATGACATTTCACTGAGAGAGAGAGAGTCATGAGATGAGGCCCAGAATTCTTGATTCTATTTTTATGTCCATTCATTGAGGTTTTTAATTCTCTAACTGAATTTTCCCTCTTTTTATTTTCGTTATTTATGTTCGCCCGACAAATCATTGATACCGTTCGCTATTTTATAATATAAGTATGCATGTTTGTTAAGAACGATTAATAGTTTTGATTCGGCTAATTATATAAGGAAAATATTAGATTTATAGTATCAGGGGAAGAGAGTGCAGTCCCACCAAATGAAGCAGCACACATAAGAGGGTGAGTCTTAGGTTACCTTAGCGAAGTTCGATCACAAAACCACTTAGTGATGAGAGGTAACCCACCTGACTTATATACACTAGGCTCATTTTTCCTATAGAATCAATGTGTGACAACTCACATGTGATTATATTCCAACAGAAAATTGCTTAGAAATTTTAAAAGTCGCTTTGAATTATATTTATAATTTCATTTTTTAGAAGAAAAATCACATTGAAACAAACATAGTATATATACACAAATGTCATAGGTTAGTACATAATATTACGTTTTGTTAATGTCATACCTTTAGTTTATAATACGATATTTCAATTTAAAAGTATGATTTTGCTGTTTTTTTTCTGTATACGGATCGTTAGTCCCAAAAAATAAGACAAATATACTTTGTCATCAATGTTCAACATAATATATAAATTAATTAACTATATAATGGAGCTTAATTTAATTTATTGTGATATTACATTATGAAAATATAAATGTGCCAAAAAAAAAATTGCAAGTTAATAATTGGGATGCCACTAATCCCTTTACTATGACTAAAAAGTTTATATATATAAAACAAATTGTGCTGTATAATATTTCATATATAGTTCATGATACACATGTAGACATTCAATTTGATGGTATTTACATAGCAAAGATGATGATGATAATGAGTACTCTATGATTGGAGAATAGCCATTGGTGAGGACATCAATGTGGTGATGGTGATGTGGCATTCATGAGCTTAGAATATTCGGGATATATAATTTTCTCAACTTTTATTATTATTATTATTATTATTTTTATTATTATTATTATTATTATTATTATTATTATTATTATTATTATTATTATTATTACTTTTTTTTACACAATTTAACTGATTTGGTGTCCATGCTAGGATGCTACAAGATAAATAGGGCCTATGTATATGATTTTATGTGTATACACAATTTGCATGTATATAATTTGACATTTGTATGTAATAATCAATTAATGAATATTATGTTTTTTTTTTTAATTCATATTATTGTTGAACTTGTAATACGATATAAGTAGCAACAAAATCTCAAAAAATGGTCCATTATCTTGGTCATTTTCCGGAAAATGTCCAATATATAGGACGTCATCAAGAATGATTCACTAAATTGTCACTTTAATCAAAATTCGTACAATAACCAACATAATGTACCAAAAATGATCATTTTTTGTTGTCATTTTTAGTACACTATGTTGGTTATTGTACGAGTTTTGATTAAAATGACAACTTAATGGTCCATTTCTTACGACACTCTATATGATGAATATTTTTCGAGAAATAACCAATATAGTATACTAAAAATGAAATTTAGCCACTATGTAACAGTGGCTAGTTTTACCAGTATAACTCGATATTATTATTTAAAACCCTGATTTACAAATTTCTTCAAATGTATTCTTTGAATTTCTTCAAAGCTACATATAGGATAGATAGGTGAAACAGAATATATATTTTCAATTCATTTATTTGTCCACTAAATAAAAAAAATTTAATATTCATTAATTTGTAATTTTTTTGTTTCTCCACTTACATTTTTTAATACAAATTTTAAATTAAAATTTTAATAATTACTGCATTTTTTTTTTTATAAAATTTAGTATCCATCCACTCATACTACTAATCATTATTTTCCTAATTCTATATCATTTAAATTAATTATTATTTTATTATATCACACCACTTTACATTAAATATTCATTATGTTCTCCACTACTTTGTATTACCAACAAAATTTTAATTTACTATCAATTTAAACAATTTTATTTTATTTTATTTTTTTGTTTAAATGGATGTAATTTGGTGAGCCCCATAAAGAAATGCTTTGTAGTTTTTTTAAAAGGAGAAAAAATTAAGTTTTCTTTTTTTTTTGATATTTTTTTTTTTGGTACAGGGACCTTCCGGTTTCCGGATCCACAGGGGAACCGACTAATCTGGAATCGAGCCGGGTAGGACCACAAGGGCGGCAAAGCTCTCCCTCAAGAGTTTTAATTTATTTTTATTATATTTCAAATGAAATTTTTTGATATTTGATGTGATGTAACATTGTAGGGTAGATAAAAAAGATCAAATTAGACTTTTCTTTTAATTCTTTTTTCTTTTCTTCTTCTTTATTTATTTATTTATTTATTTAATTATTTATTTATTTTCCAAACTTACTGAGAGGATATAATGGAGCGGGCCAGCCGGGTTGGGAACATCATCCCTACCAAGCCAAGGATATTGTCAGTTGTATTTACCATGGCATCAATTTGATATTCAATATTATATATATAAATATATTGCATAATTTGATATAATGTCAATTTTTGAGTTTATACTTATTAATTAATATAAGAGATATATAAATACTATTGAATTGATTTGAGAGGACATTTTGATCGGAAATAAGAACTCTAATAAAAAAGAAATAAATTAATAATTGGATACGTTTATATTTAATATGCATGTACTCCATTAAAAGAAAATGATGAAATTGCAGCGGAAATATGTTTTAATAGAATTATTCCAATGATAATTTCAATGGATATTTCAATGCTGTTATTTCTGTTGGAATTTTTTAATGGGTTATTTCAACGGAAATTCCAACAAAAATATTCCATTGGAATGAGTTTTTCAATAGAATTTTCGTTGTAATTTGATGATTCAAACGGGGGTGAAAATAAAAATTCCAATGGAAATTACATATTCCAACGGTAAATAGCCGTTGGAAATATAATTGTTGTAATCATCAAATTCCATATAAAATTTCAATGAAAAACACATTCCAATAGAATATTTCCGTAAATCATCCAACAGAAGATATACCATTGGAATATCCGTTGGAATTTCATTGGAATATATTACCATGAGATCTTCTGTTGAAATATAACACCTTTTTTTGCAGTGCTCTAATTAAAAAACAATAATAATTTTAAGAGTTATATCCTATTAATCTCATACTTTTCTTAATTAAAAAACAATAGCAAGTTTGCTTCATAATTAACTTTTCTTAAAAGAATTAGTGTTTTTGTTTCTATTCTACTCTCCTACACAACTTGATGTACTATACATTACCACATACAAAGAAGCAATGCAATATCTCAAGCTACCTAATTAAAGCTATATATACATAGGTAGATTCTACTACACACATAATGCTTATGAACACACAAAATGAAGACAAAAAAGAAAGAAGAAAAATTCAGAAAAATGAGATTTTTGAGTGGGGTTACATCTATATAGCCATTGATGTGAACTCAACAAGATATTTCCTAAGGGCATCAAAGTATTATGATCAATATCAAAGAAAGAATAGAAAGCAAGGAAAAAAAAAATCTTTCTCTCTCTCTATATACAAAAGGTACAACTTGCTCGGTCGAAAAAACCGGTGCGAATTCTCGTGTGTGGTCCTCTTGTGAGCTACTATGGAGGCTTAAAGAACCTACATTGGTCCCTCTTCTACACACTCACACACTACTACTACATCCATTATATCATCAAACCCACTTAAATTCTGATTAACTCAGATCATCAAATATTTTGCCCTTTTGATCAGTTCTTGATCATTCTTCTTTCATTGTACTTATCTTTTTTTAGCTACAACAATTTAATCACATATATATGTAGCTTCCATAGAAAATATATATATATATTATATTACTACCCATAAGGGCACCTCTCTCTCTCTCTCTCTCTCTCTCTCTCTCTCTCTCTCTCTCTCTCTCTC